CCCCCAGCCACATGGGTGTCACTCGCAGGCAGGTGTGGGGGTGTTGGCGGGTGTCCAGTGGGGTCCGCCTCCGCCCAGGAGAGTGGGATGGGAGTGGCAGGGGGTGTCACTGATGCAGGCTGTACCCCCTAATTCCGTGCCCCTGCCTTCCCCCCACAACGCACCTCTGGTTTCCAAGGTGACCGGCTCGGAGAACTCGCCCGCCACAGCCTTGTTACAGGCCTTGACGCGGAAATTCATGTACTTCATGTCGAACTTGAGGCCTGAGGGGAGTCGCCAGGGTTAGACGGGAGCAGGGGGCCCATGCCAGCGCTCAGCAGGGCCCCCCACAGCCAGCCCTCCGCCCGGCACCCTCCAGCACTTCCTACTAGGACAGGCTAGAACCGGAGTCGCTGGGATCTCCCCCCAGCCGGTGCCCCTGCTCCTGCCCCCCTCCCTACAGCGCCTCCTGCTGGGTGAGGCCGGGATTGGAGTAGCCAGGAACTGGCCCCACATCCAGTGCTCCTGCCCCGCTCCCTACAGCACCCCCTGCTGGGACAGGCTGGTATGGGAGTAGCCAGAGCTCCCCCCACAGCCAGTGCTCTTATCCCATTCTCTGTAAACACCCCCTTTGGGGTTGCAGTGAGTAGGCGCCCCCATTCCCCTCACCAGTTAGGGTGTACTCGGTCTGCTTGATGCCCTCGATCACCATCCAGGGCTGGTCCTCCTTCACCCGCGGGGGCCCCTCGAAGTTGGTCTTGCGGTACTCCAGGACGTAGTGGTCGATCTTGCTGTCCTCGTCGGGCATCCTCCAGACCAGCGTCACGCAGTTATCGGCCACCAGTGACTCGGCCATGTCGATCTCCGGGGCGCTGGGAACTAGACGAGAGGGTGAGAGCAAAGGGATGGCAGCCATGGTCCTTGTGTTCCCTCCCAAACCCCATCAGCCATGGCCCAACCTGGCCCCTCCAAAACCCCATCACCCCCCATCAGCCACGGCTTGGCCTGGCCCCTCCAAAACCCCATCACCCACCATCAGCCACGGCTCGGCCTGGCCCCTCCCAAACCCCATCACCCCC